AGCTCCAACATCATTGTGAAGTTTGCGGACGACACTACAGTGGTGGGTCTTATCACCAACGGTGATGAGACGGCTTACAGGGAGGAGGTCAGCGCCCTGACCCACTGGTGTCAAGACAACCATCTCACCCTCAACGTCGCAAAGACAAAGGAGTTGATAGTGGACTTCCGGAGGTGCAGAGAAGTACACACCCCCATCACCATCAACGGCGCTGCTGTGGAGAGAGTGAGCAGCTTCCGGTTCCTTGGCGTACACCTGGCTGAGGATCTTACGTGGTCAGTACACACAAACAAAACAGTGAAGAAGGCGCAGCAGCGCCTCTTCTTTCTCAGGAGACTGAAAAGATTCGGCATGAGCCCCCGCATCCTCAGGACCTTCTATCGCTGTGCCATTGAGAGCATCCTCACTGGATGCATCACCACCTGGTATGGCAACAGCACCGCCTACAACTGCAAAGCTCTCCAGCGAGTAGTGCGGTGCTCTGAACGGATAATTGGAGGTGAGCTTCCCTCCCTCCAAGACATCTACAGGAAGCGGTGCCTGAGGAAAGCGGGGAGGATCATCCAGGACTCCAGTCACCCCAGCCATAAACTGTTCAGACTGCTTCCATCAGGAAGGAGGTTCTGCAGCATCCGGTCCCGTACCAGAAGACTGAGAGACAGCTTTTTCCATCAGGCCATCAGACTGCTGAACACGTCATAGACACCTCAGCTTCACTACTGGAACTTCAACATTATGCACTCCATACTGTATATAAATGCCACTTGTTTTGCACATGTCTCAACTCTGTATATTTTATATATTTTATTATTATTATTATTATTATTTTATTTTATTTTTTTACTATTTAATTTGTAAAAATGTGTATATACACACACACACACACGCACGTAGGAAAATATTTAGTATACACATCCAGAAATGCATACACTATTATATATTGTACATATATTTATTAGTTTCAGGTTGGCCATTCTTGTATTTTGCTCGTTTGTGTTGTTGTGTTTGCACATCTCTGTTGCTTGTGGGGCTCGCACACAAGAATTTCACTCGCATGTGCTGTGCCAGTGTGCCTGCACATGTGATGTGACAATAAAAAGTGATTTGATTTGATTTGTGATTTGATTTGATTTGTGATTTGATTTGATTTGATTTTTTCACACCAAGCTGCTTGCCTATTGTAGATTCACTCTTCCCAGTCTGGTGCAGGTCTACAATACTTTTCCTGGTGTCCTTCGAAAGCTCTTTGGTCTTGGCCATGGCGGAGTTTGGAGTCTGACTGTTTGAGGCTGTGGACAGGTGTCTTTTATACAGATGATGAGTTCAAACAGGTGCCATTCATACAGGTAACGAGTGGGGGACAGTAAAGCTTCTTACAGAAGACGTTACCGGTCTGTGAGAGCCAGAGATTTTCCTTGTTTGAGGTGACCAAATACTTATTTTCCACCCTAATTTACGAATAAATTCTTTACAAATCCTACCATGTGAATTCATGGATTTTTTTTTTTCACATTCTGTCTCTCACAGTTGAAGTGTACCTCTGGTGCAGATTACTGACCTCTGTCATCATTTTAAGTGGGGGAACTTGCACAATCGGTGGCTGACTAAATACTTTTTTGCCCCACTGTATGTGGGCCACTGAGAAAGGCCTCGTCAGCGCATCCCGTTTCTATGTGGATCACTGAGAAAGGCATAACAAAGTCTTATAAAATAAAAAGACACGTGCCTACCTTCGTCAGGATCCCACTTCTGACACCAAAATTGAAGGAAATGGCTTCCAGGGCCTAATCCGTGGATCGGCTTTCTCCGAGGCGTGGGCGTCTATCAGCAGAGATTGTACCTTAATCTGTAACACAGTCAAATATATTCTCAAGTAACATTCAAGCATGCCATTCAGCGTGTTAGTACGAGCTCGGGAGCAGCTTGGGAGAACAAGAAAACAGAGACTGCTTCAGATTGTCTTCCCAAATCGACTCAACTTTATTCACAAGTACAACAGTTTATATAGAGGGTAAAATTCATGAGACAGCAGATTATCAGTTTAAACCAGTACAGACCAAGATAAGGGAGCGTCTTCCTGCCCTTGGGTGAAGAAGCATCCTTTGTGTAGTGTATCAGTTCAGCTACAATTGTGATTATCTCAGCGACATATTTTCAAGGCACAAAACAAAGAGTTCTTTCATTAGTGAAATCTGAAACAAACCATCTGGCCTTCAACAGGCGTCTCCTAAAAGATTAAGAAACTAATGTAGCTGAGGGAGTGTTCTCTGTGGTATTTCAACCTTGTACCAGCCTGTGATTCTCACACATCAATTCTTGGGTCAAAGAGAAAAATAACTAAAACAAAGGGGCCTTATTGAATGACAGAGTTTTCCTGCATAATGTCACTATAAAACAATATCCAGTAAATGCTCCCATGGTACTAAAATACCTAACACAGTATACTGTGTATATTTATACTGGCAGTATGGAAATGATCATTTGGAAATGCTTAAAATGGAAATGATCATTTACTGTGAGGTGAGGTGTGGTTGGGGTGTTTTGTAACAGTGGTTGTGCTTTTGTAACGTTGAGGTATGGACAGCTACACACTGAGGCTTTGAGCCTCAGTCCTGCCTGTTCACATTTTATTCTGTAAAAACTAAATTTTCACTGCTTTTATGGCCTTTTTTTAGTGGGGAGAACATAGCTAGGATTTAATGATTTAACAAATCTTTTAAATCCTTTGTCCTCCACAATGCTAACTGGCTCAATCACCATGCTAACCAGGTCTTCATCTATTTGAGATTGTTCTCCTGAGGAAAGACAATAAAGACAAAGCACAAATATAAATATCACACACGTAACTTATTACAATTGTATAATATTGTTATATCATTTAGTAACATTACTGCATGCTATATTATCATGGCATTTGATGGCTCACCTGGTCTTGCTCCAGAATCGGTGTTCCCCCTATTCACATGCAAAGCTCTGTAGTGCCTAGGCATGGATGAGGTGTTGTTGTTATATCCCAGCTCCCTGGCACATAGCAAACACTTCACCTTGTACAAAAGTCAAGACAGCTTAACATAAATTGTATTGCACCATCAGTATTATGAAAATACATCTTCTGTAGAAATTTACATACCTTGTTGGGAGGAATAAAATCACAATGTTCCCACACAGGGGAGGACATCCTCCTCTTCTTAGCTGGCTCCATTCTCTCCTGACTTTCTCTCCTCACTCTCATAAACCTCCAAACTGTCTCCAAACTCTCTCTAACCGCAACTCTCCATCAAACACCTACATTTTGAATGAAGTCTGAGGGCTTTATATCGCTGTCATATCTCGCGGCAAAGTTCGAACCACTTCATGAACCAGTCACGTGGTACAGCCGGGCAGCGAGGCTTCGGACGTCATCATTTTCAGCTCCTCCCATAAATGAAGCAAGCCTCGATACGCGCATCGCGGAAACGCCCCCTCCATTACTCGACACAGGCTTTGAAGCCTCGATACAGAACGTCACATCACTACCTTTAGCGACTCTGTTTTTCTAAAAAGCGACTAGCGACAAATCTGGCGACTTTTTCTTATTTATGACGATTTTTGACATGAAAGCGCGTATCGCTCTTCGCAACAAAGCAGCGGGTGCTTTCTTTCTTTCTTTGTTATGGGAAGAAATACTGAAATCATCATGATTGAGTAGTGATTTATGTAACTTTGTGTATATAATTTGGCATTTCCTACTGATGTAGGCTAAAGATAAATACATGATACAACTTCATGTATTTTAAAGGTTTATTTGCAAGACACAAAAACAGACAAAATTGAAAGTTCCAAATGTATTGTGCACGAAACAAATTCAAACGTGGCGATGGAGCCAGGTGCAGATGTCTGTCACAAGTTAATCTGGCTGTAGGCTATGGCACTTAGCCACAGGTGGAGCTAGTTGACTCGACTCCATTTGAGTGCACACAAAGTAAACTGCACGCTTTAGTTGTGATTCTGAAATCGGAGTAATAGAACGTACGAGGGGAGCGATAACAACTACAGGATTCTCCCGATCGTTTACTCTTGCTGTCCCGTGAGCAGCATCGGCGTGGTGTTAATTGTTTGCTGTTTTCGCGATCGCCTCCTGCATGAGAATATCCAGGTAAACTCGCGACATTTTTAAACATTTTGTTGTTAAAGAGCAACAAGGCTGACACAGTGTGTTTGAGGTAACCTCACAAATATCACAGATTAAATATTTGCTGTTTATTTGCTGTTTTGTCGGTAGCGGCTCCTGAAAGGCAAGTCTACCACACATCTGTTCGACCAAAGCCAGTTGATCTGCGACGCCAGTTAATCTGGAAAACTGGAAGCAGGATTCATCACGTCATCACTTAAAGACCGGATAGCGATTTTCCTTACTGAGGAGTTGGCCACATGGTGGGCATGTGGACAATTCCTGCCAATGCTTTGGAAGCATTTGGAATGTGTGGATAAATGCATTGATCTACAATAGTAATACACCACAGTAAAGTGTATGAAGCTTCATCTGTGTAAATAGACTTACCGGCAACTTTCTTTGGTAGACGTGTTCAAATACTCTAGCGTTTCGGCTCGTGTTGGCGATCAATACTGGTGATCACTTTGATCATGGTGTGCGTGATTGTGCTGCACTGGTTGATCTGACTATTTTAGAGACTGCTTATCTGTTAGCATTTTCCAGCACAAACATCTGTATAATTTACAGAGAGTGGTACCTGCCTTCATTAAACACTTTAATCTTTCATTATCATATTGGGATCATGCTGCTGTTCATTTTTTTGCTTTTGTTTTTTCACATTGTGTAATAATCACTGGCAGCCACATCTAAAAAATAGATCCTAGATGAGTGATTGTTTCTGTGGCAACATTTGCAACAATGCAAGAAACCATAAGCTTGATTCTCAATAGATGACCCTTTTAATCTTTCTTGATCTTTCTTATCATCACATTAGTCACCATTTTCTTGTGTCCCTTTGTTGATGAAGGTCTGGATGATCAGCAGGTCTGTGATCAGGAGAGGAGCTCCAGTCTCCACCAGCAGGACCCAGAGCCTCCACAGACTAGAGAGGAACAGAAGGAAATGTGCAGCAGTGAGGAAGGAGAGCAGCTTGAACTGAAGCAGGAGGCTGAAGGCATTAATGTGTGGACTGGTGAAGAGGTGGATTTGTTGTGGAAATCTGGAGTAAAGCTGACCACAGTAGGTATGTAAAACTGTAATATACAGATTACATATTAAAACGTTGGGTGATGACATGACAAAGACACGTGGCGTGTATTACCGTCTAGCATACTACCTCACTGAAGACATGTTTTCTCTTAGCACTGTAAAATATAAACCGGGTTCAACATCTTCTGTTTGTTTAATAAAAAACAAAAATTTTGAATTATGTTTGTCCAGTGAAGGAAGTCTCAGGCTTAAGCCACAGCCTGGTAATGGCTTTTCTTGCTGCAGTGAGAAGAATCTTAGTTAAATATAAATCCTCTCTTTTAACCTTATCATCAATATTTCCTAAAAATACTGTAGTACAGTCCTCAGGAACCTTGTAACCTAAAACCTTATCACCCACTGTTTTCCAGAATGAGTGATTTTTAGAGCAAGACCAGAAGATAAATCTTTGGTTCTTCATCAAATTGAGGTATAATTTAGATTTCTGTTGTTTTTTGTTGGTAGGCGTTGCACATCATTTCAATTAAAAGAGTTAATCATCTCAGCCTCAGCTATCTCTTTATTTTAGTAGTCTCGAAGTTGTAGATATCGAAACAAATCCTGGTTTTTCAATTCAAACATGTCTTTAAGCTCTTGAAAGCTCCTACCTTTGTCCCTTTTGGTAATTAAACAGAAAGCAGTCAGGCCCCTGTTGGTCCACTCTTTGAAAGCCTTGTCATATTGTCCTGGTTTAAAACTATTTTCCAAGCTTATCCATCGCAACTTTTTGTGGCTATTTTTCAGGGTCAGTGCCATCAGGTATTAGCCTCTCTCTTCTGATCACATTTTCACCAAAGCTTATTACAGAGCTGCCCTCTTCTCCTTCTGGGACTCCGTAAATTCGCAGGTTATTTCTTGTCGATCTAGACTGAAGGTCTTCTAGCTTTTTGCCACTCGTGTTTCGGCTTCCTCAAGTTTCTCACCGTATTCTTGGACTGCTAGCTTATTAGCCGTTAGCTGTTGGTTTGTGTCTTTTTGAATTTATTCAGGTCTTCTTTCAACTCACGCCTGAAATCTTCTTTGAATGCGTTGAAGTCAGCTTTCATCTCTGTCCGGAGGTCAAAGATTTGTTGGCTGATATTTTTAATGCCCTCTTGCAAAGATTTGAGTTTGGCCCCCTCGCCATTTTCTTTATCTGAGTTAGCCTTATCCGCATGCGTGTTCTCTCTCTCTTCTGGAAAATACTGTTCAGTTGGTCCATGTATCTTGTTCCTTTTCTTTGTCTTTGTCCCCACCCCTGCATTGTTCTAAACATAGAAGTAGTAAAAAGAACTTGAATTTAAGGGGAAATTTGCTCGACCCCGAGGAGCTCAGAAATTACGCAGCCATTTTGCCTTGCTGCCAACCGCACGAGAGATAATATTTAAAAAATTTGTGCACCTTAAACATCGCTCACATATCTGAGAGACATGCTCACAGTGTAACTTTTTTCATGTTTGTTGTCATTTGTTCCATCAAGACCTCCCACAGCAACATAATTGTAAGGAAAATGAGGATCTAGATGACCCGCAGGTCTGTAGCCAGGAGAGGAACCCCAGTCTCAACCAAGAAGACCCGGAACAGGAGGAAATGTACACCAATCAGGAAGGAGAGCAGCTTGCACGTAACCAGGAAACCAAAGGCATCGTCGTCTGGACTGGGCAGGAACTAGGCATCATGTGGAACCCTGAAGTAAAGTTAAACAGAATAGGTATGCAAAATTGTAGTCAAACTGTCAAATTGTAGGTAGATTTCTTAATACAAAACTGAATATAACTCATGTTGAGTCCTAATCTGACCTCAGCGATATGTTATAGAGGTGCATGAAGAATCGAAGGACCAACTCCTATAAGGAAACTGACGCATGTTTTAAGAGCCAAAATTTCTGGCCTCTCAGCTAAGTCTTGTCCATCAAGGTGGTTCTTCTTTTTTTGTGCCCTGCATTTATGAAGCGGTTGCTTGGTCTCTCCAATGTCCAAGAAACTCCTATGCGTCCGACAAGTGTGTCCTCCTTTTACCCAGATTTGAAGGATGGGTCGGGTGTATACTTCGTGGCCCAACATATCCTAGAATTCGTAGCGTGGCCCACCCAAATCCAGTTTCCATCAATGGTGGCAGCTACTTAGTTTTAATATTACTCTGTCTGGGCGACAAAATAAACTTTTAAGAGCCTGGCCAGTAGCCATTCAGGCATGAGGGCTTGTTGTTCTTGGTCACAGGGATGATTGTGGATCGTTTGAAGCCACCCATGGCTCCAATACCATCCACATAAGTTTTTGAACACCTGAGAAAATCAGTGTTAATCTTTGGTACAGAAGCCTTTGTTTGCAATTACAGAGGTCAAAGGCTTCCTGTTGTTCTTGACCAGGTTTGTACAGGTCTCCACAAAGATCTCCTCTAGATCTGTCAGCTTGTGGGGCTGTCACTGAGCAACACAGTTTCAGCTCCCTCCAAAGGTTCTTCCAGAGGACTTAGGTCAGGAGACTGGCTAGGCCACCCCAGAACCTAATCTTAAGATTAGAGGGTGTCTATGTATTATGTGGAGCAGTGCAATACAAACAATTTTTTTTTTTTTTTTTTTTTTTTTAGAAATAATGATTTCCTTAATTGAATGTGAATTTCAGACCCCTCCATGATTTCTAAGTGGGAGTACTTGCAAAGAAACCTCTGGCAGACTCAGGGAGGAGCCACTTGCACAAGCGCAGAGTGTTCAAATACTTATGTTCCTCACTGTATATTGTCTTTATTTTCTCATCGTAGATCTGTTTATATTAATTAATGTGCGATATCTGTCATTCAACGCCAGAGTTTGAAAAGAGTTCAACTGTTTTAGATATTTACTGAGCTGACGCATGCACATTAAAACAAAGACTCAACAGTCACCCTATATCACACAAATTCCAACAGAGTAATATTTATGAGAAGAAGGAAGGAAGAAGACAATTGTTTCAATTTAAAATTTCCGCCCAATCGATTCTCTTTTTGCTTGGGCAGTTTAAAGAATTACATGTTTTCTCTGCAGCATGGAATGGAAAAATGATTTAAACAGATTTTATATTCTGCTTTTTGGAATGTACAATTCCAAACTTAAATTGATCACACAACAGGAGTGTTCTCAGCAAAACAGCTTCTCCCCCCAACATGGCTTTCATTGGTATATCTGTGCGACATGCTTACCACGTGGAGACCTGCTGGATGGTTAACTTGTAATTTTTCAAATGTATGTTTGTTGCTTCTTTGTTTTTTTTAATCTGTTGCTTCAGATCTTCCACAGTGTGACTGTAAGGATGAGGGAGGGCTCACAGATCAGCAGGTCTGTAACCGGAAGAACAACTCCACTCTGGACCAGGAGGATCCTTCGCAGATTAAAGGGGAACAGGAGAAACTCAGTACCACTCAAGAGGGAAAACCGCTTGTACAAAAGCAGGAGACCGGAACATTTTCTGCCTGTAAAGAAAGTGACCACAGTGAACCAGGACCAAGCAGTGACCAGCTCCTTTCTCACAACTCTACTGACACAGATCAGGACGAAAAAAAGGATGATAATTCACACAGTATGAAGTCAGCGCAAATTGTATCAGGACTGACAGTTCAAAATTCCAAGACAGCACATTTATGTAGCACCTATGGGAAAAAATTTAATTCTAAACCAAACTTGAATCAACATATACAAATTCACAAAGGTGGGAAACCACATTCTTGCGGCACCTGTAGGAAAAGATTTCGTTTTATGTCAGACTTGGCTAGGCACATCAAAACTCACACAGGTGAGAAACAATATTCTTGTAGCACTTGTGGGAAAAGATTTAATTTAAAATCAAGTTTGAAATCCCACATAACAATTCACACAGGTGAGAACCCATATACCTGTAGCACATATGGGGAAAGATTTCGTCTAAACACACAGTTGAAGGGACATATGCAAATTCACACAGGTGAGATGCCATATTCCTGTAGCACTTGTGGGAAAGGATTTCATTTTAAATCAAGGTTGAAATCCCACATAACAATTCACACAGGTGAGAAGCCATATTCCTGTAGCACATGTGGGGAAAGATTTCGTCTAAACCTACAGTTGAAGAGACATGCGACTTCACACAGGTGAGAAGTCTGAGTCACAGAGAGGGCCCAAACTGTCCAAAGTTGTAGAATCCCCTAATTAGTGAAATTTATAGCTTACATTTGTTAGTGCAACTTGTTTTAAAGGCATGAAAATCTGTAGTATTAATAGGGCTGGACATCGTCACTGATTTCTAGAATCGATTCAATTCCGATTTGATTTGAGTCGATTTGAATCTGGGAAATTTTGCCTCAGTTAGAAATATTATTATTCTGATCACGTATCAGTACATATCCATATCTTTATATCTATAAAAAGAAAGCTGACACTTGCGAGACTTTATCAAAGGTGTAAGCGTCACAGCAGATGCCTTTGTGTCAAAGTACTTGAGGATAAAAGACAGAAAAACATGAAGGCAATCAGGGGTGATTTTAGCCCATTTTTGGGGGTGCTTCAGTGTTTCAATATTTATCTTTTATTAGATGTTCGTGTGGTTTGGTTATTTGCCTTTTGGTTGAAAGTAAACTGAGAGGACTTTTTGTTAGTGATCTTAATAGTATTTTTTTTCATATGAATGTAATTTTTCATCTAATCGAATAAAATCTATTTGTATATGATTGTCAGTCCGAAGAGGGAGAGAGGAAAGAGGAGAATGTGAGGAGAAAGTACAAGGTCAGGAAGAACCAGGTAACAGGATTTTAATGAATCGATATCATGTTATCCAAACTAGAATCGATTTTAATCAATAAATCGATAATCAAAACCCACCCCTAAGTATTAATTCCTTCTTACTGTGAGGCTGGCATAACAGTCATTATTCCTGACCCTGTGAGCTGACCTCGGGCATAAACCTGTCAAAAAAAGCTATAAAAATGATGGCTAAAGATGGAAGAAAGCCCAGAAAGTTATGCAAGACAAATGTTGAATATTATAGAGGAAGCAAAGTTTTGTAAATTGGATACACTGGTCAAAGTGAGACATTAATAAAAACATTCTATAATAATTGTTTTTAAGAAAACAATTTGTACACAATTAAAGAAATAAATCTAGTTTAAAATTGGAATTAAATAAGTTTAAAGAAAAAATATGGATAATTATATAATAAAGGATGAGCAGCTGGTGACTCCTCTCCCATAAAGGGGTTTAGAAGTGCACTGGGAGTCTTCATTTTTATCGTTGTTGGCTTTTGGCCTGCATGTGCTCACGGAAAACACTGTAGAGGGCTTTGTGTTTATTTTCTAAATTTTTGTTTATCTCGTCTGTTCAATAAAACTGTTGGCACCAAACTTCACTCATCTCCTGTGATTTTTGCACCCGTGTGTACACCTGTGAGCATGACTGCACTTGTATTTAAAAGGTTCCTTCATGTAACGATCTGCTAGAGGGTGTGCGGAGCCATAGTCCCGTTCCCCATGAAGCAGGCATGAAGCAGGTATGGAGGAGATCCAGGCTCCAGACATGCAGAGACCCCCAGTGCGCAAGAGTTCACGGAAGACCAACAGAGGGGCAACCATGCCACCCTTCCGGAAAGAGCTGAGAAGAGCTCCAGACGAGGGGTCACCCCAGGTCCCTGTGAGTGTTCAGTGTTTTTCCGCTCCGGCCTGGTCTGTTCAGGTGGAGCCCGGAGTCCACACCTGCCTCGTTCATCTGTTCATCATTGCCGGCAATCATCAGGTGTATTTAACATCAGCGTCTCCTCCAGTTCTCTGCCAGTCTGTCAGCTATCCTATGGTTGTCACCAGGCCATGAAGTCTCTGTTGTATGTTTTGATTGAGACTAACTTTGATCTCTTCTCCCTCCAAGCAGTCATGACAGGAGCCCATGTCACACTGAGTTACTCACCTCTTCCACTTGCTGCTGAGCTCACTCTGTGGAATACTCACCTGTCTGGCATCACGCTTGTCTGAATTTCCAGTAGATTACTTCTGAAGCTCTGAGGACTCAAAAATGCAGAAAAAATATAGGAAACTAAAAGAACTGAATGTTGACCAATCCATGTGTTCTTCTAGAACAGGGGTCGGTAACCTGCGGCTCCCGATCTGTATACGGCTCTTTCATCCTTATACTGCGGCTCCACGTGGCTTGGGAAAATAAATTCTAAGTATTTAACTGAAGTGTATTTTATTTGTGTTAGTTCTTTTTTTTAACTTGTGGTTCTAAATTGGAAGATTATTGTGATCTTGAAATTCAAAAGTAAAATTATGTTTTATTATTTTCGTTGCTCAAAATATGTGTCACACTGGCAGAAGCCGGTATACCTCCCAAAACGCTGTGCATTTATTAAGACTTTGAACCCCAGTTAGGGCTAGTAAAGAGAAAAATGTAAGAAAAGAAAAATGTTCACATGAACATGCTTTTCTGCATCTCTTTATTGACCACTTTTCCCACACGTTTGCTGTACACACACAGCCAGCTGTAGCTTTCCAGCTAACAAACGCTAACAAAATAATGCTGAAAACGATAAAAACCCTGAAAATCATACATTTCACACCTGAGCCTCAACTCTCGTGGCCTGGTACCAAACGACTCACGGACCGGTACCGGTCTGAGGCCCGGGGGTTGGGGACCGCTGCTCTATAACGTCTATAACGATACCCTGGATTGAAACAGGGGTCAAAGGTTTCCTGGTCCTCCTAAAGTCCACAATCAATTTTTGGTCTTCGGTCACTTTGAGCTGCAGATGATTCTGCTTGCACCACTTGATAAAGGAGTCAACTACTGCCCGGTACACCATCACATCACCCTCACTGAAGCATCCAACCACCGCAGAGTCATCAGAAAACATCTGAACATGGCAGGTCTGTGCAGTGGCTGACGTCTGTGATGGGGAGAGGGCAGTTCCTTGTGGTGCCCCTGTGTTGCTGATCACCTTGTGAGACACATAATGTTGAAGAAGCACATTTTGTGTTAGATACTCAAAAATCCAGGACACAGGAGAGGCATCCACTTGCATCTCAGTCAGCTTATCTCCCAGGACGATTGGCCTGAGAAGCCGGAGAAGCTTCTTTCCGCAGGCGATACGGTCTCTCAATCACACCACCACATAGTACTGACCCACAAATATGGTTTTTACACACACACTGGACATTCTGGACATTTGTTTACATTTGTTTACATTTGCCATCTTGTTATTGATTAATCAAATCACTCTATCACAAGTCGCTTAAATAAATCACTTTTAAGCATATTTGCACTACAGACTGCACTACACTACAGACACTACAGACACTTAAATATGTGGATTGCACAACCCTGGACATTACATTTCTTTCATTACCATTTATTACTCGTACAGCTGCTTTTATTGTTCCATATTTCTTCATATATTCTTATATATTTTCTATATTGTGTATTTTATGTATTGTGTATTTATACTTGTATTTGTTGTACGGTTATTTTATTTGTAACTTTAATTTTTATATTTTATTCTTTCCTAGTTAAATTTACCCTTCATTTTAATTTTCCTATTTATTTCCTATCCTATTCATAGTCTTTTATTTTAGGTTACAAGCAGTTGTCTAAGCATTTCACTGCATATCGTACTGTGTATGACTGTGTACGTGACAAATGAAATTTGAATTTGATGATAATAAATGCACTGGAAAAGATAAAAATGACCCTCACACTGCTTGCCAGCTGGCCCATATGGGTGTAGACACAACTGAGTAGGTAGATGATGGTGTCCTCAGGTCTGAGGTGGGACTGGTAGTTAAACTGAAGGAGATCCTGATCTGGCCTGACTATATGGTACTGCATAAGACAACTCGTGAAAATAACATGTGTACCAAACTCTTTAACATGAAGTGTTGTCGTAAGAAAAATGAAGAAAAGGCTAGTTTCTTTCAGATTGTATGCTGAATTGAGCAAATATGACTAAGAATTTTAGACATTGTTAAACATGTGGGTATCTTTCATTTTTAAGACCTGGGTAAATCTCAAAACATCACATTTTTACTGCTCACCTTCGGTTTGCACTGAGGTGGAGTGGGGGAGTATGTGTAGCAATCACATACAAGAATATTATCTGTCTCAGGTCCTCGTTCCTCCAGAGTAGGAGTGTACCTGGATCACAGAGCAGGTATTTTGTCCTTCTACAGCGTCTCTGAAACCATGACTCTCCTCCACAGAGTCCAGACCACATTCACTCAGCTGCTTTATGCTGGACTTTCTCGTTACAACGCTGGAGACACTGCTGAGTTCATTAAAATGAAATCGACCCTTTTCTGTTTATTAAATGTACTATTGTCTGTGTTTCAAAGAAACAGAAAACACTCTAATTCACGAAGCTTTCATAATGTTTTGAGCTTTGATCTATATTTTAATGTTAAATGATAAATTCTTTATCCAGGTTTCTCCAAAGTACCAGACTTTATGTCAGGACTTGATTTTTGTTAGACTGACCTGATGAGGGCAGTATTACGCCTTTGATACTTCCAGCTTAAGATCGAAGAAGAATAGCGGAAATGACGTCACTGAGCGCTTGCATCGCGAGTTATATTTGAAGACTTTGATTTGAATGTATCAGTTGTTGTCGCAATAATGTCTTCAGTCCAGTATCTGCGAGAGGTTATCAAGGAGAGATTAACTGCTGCCGCAGAACAAATCTTCTCAGAGTTTGAAAAAACGATCGTCCGGTATGAGGAGGAGATCCGTCAGCTAAGGCCGCTGGATATCAGACCCGGGATAAAGTCGCACAATACAGGTGTGTAAATTTGTGGAGGAATGGGGGTTGCGGGATCCTCGCGGGAACCCAACTCTGCTTAGATTTTACCATGTGCGCTTCACACTACCGTAACTTATCGACTATTTAAGCTAGAAAAAGAAATTACAGGGTTACTGAAAGAAGAGAGGCTGAGTTTTACGGGGATATTTGGTGTATTACGGTAGCACAAACCGTTCGCAAGCTACTGCTGTCTGAAGAACCAAGATTCACTAACGTAATCCCTCGACCATTTGGGCAAGAGAGACATTTCAAACGGTTACTGAAACACGAAGAAGAGCTTTACGAAACTTTACGGTGCATCATTAGAAAACACGAGCAGTGACGGTCCAATCACATGTATGGAAAAGTGGCAACGCTCCAAAAAGGCCTCGAAATTTAAAAAACTGAGTGGCCATTGCTCAAAAACTTTATTGTACATATTTAGTATAGTTGATGTTGTGTTACGTTTGTTCCTGTTGAATTAATGTTAGGTTTGTAGCTTGAACCTATTCGCTTGAACGTTTAAGACAATATAATTACACAGCAAAGCAAGACAAAGTTCTTCATGTTTCTCGTGCGCGGGAGAGAACCGGACAAACGCCGTTCCTTCGCTGACCCAGTCTCGTCCGCTCCCCCGTAACACTGCTCTTTTGAGGTTACATGAATATACATAGGTTCATTAACATACGACGTCTACATACAAACAAAGAGTACCGTGTGTGTGTGTGTGTGTGTGTGTGTGTGTGTGTGTGTGACCCCATAAATGACTTCCCTAAACCTGCTGGTCTGGAAGTCCAGCAGTTCATCTAAACAAAAGGCACTTAGCCTAAAACAGATATAGCCACGTTCATCCTACCATAAAACAATAAGAGAAGGTACGACCTCTCCCATGCTCCCAGAGTGCTCTGGAATGCAGACTATTAAGGATCAAACCTCTACCAATCTAAAACTAATTATAAAACTCTAAGCATATATAAGTAGATATTTCTAAGCATAAATGACAATCAACAATACAAAACCTAACAATATCAGTTTCCACTTAACTATAAATCTGAAAAAAACAGTCCTTTTTTTTTTTCACTTTAAACTGTTGTTTCATTGCCATAACAATACAATAATGTAAAATGAGTGCCAGGGGGCAAAAGTATTCACTTTTAGTTTGATTTCTGGCCCGTTTACAGCCAAAATGACCAAAAATTACCAGGCGGCCTAAATGATGCTTGGTCAATAGCTTTCATGATCATATTCAGATCATGCTGCTGTTCATTTGTTTATTTTGTTTGTTTGCACATTTTGTGACAATCACTGGCGGTCACTTTTAAAAATTAGACCCCAGACGGCTTTAAGGTTATCAGTGTCGCCCAGTGAAAAAATGGCCAGGAGTGAATGTTTCTGTGGCAACATCTGCAAGAACGCAAGAGGCCGTGAAACCATAAGCTTAGTTCTCAACTCCCTTTTAATTGTTCTTGATCTTTCTTGTGATGACATTAGTTACTGATTTCTTCTGTCCCTTTGCTGAACACGAAGGTGATCAGCAGGTCTTTGACCAGGAGAGGAGCTCCAGTCTCCACCAGCAGGACCCAGAGTCTCCACAGACTAAAGAGGTACAGGAGGAGGAAATGTGCAGCAGTGAGGAAGGAGAGCCGCTTGAACAGAAGCAGGAGGCTGAAGAAATTGATGTGTGGACCGGAGAACAGCTGGATTTGTTGTGTAAACCTGGAGTAGAGCTGACCACAACAGGTATGTAAAACTGTAATATACAGATTTCATAATACAGAAATGAATAAGACTCATATTAAAACATCAGGCGATGATATCAGAGTTGACTCCTCAGGAAGAGAGCTCACAATGACACATGCATTACCACCTGGCATACTACCTCACCTAAGACGTGTTTTCTGTTAGCACAGTAAAATAAAAACTGGGTTTAAAATCTTCTGTTGTTTAATAAAAAACAAAAATTTCCTCCATATAGATTTAAGTCAAGTTGACCCAGAACTGTATGCAGAATGTAGAAAAATACCCACAAGGACCAAGTTGGAGTAGCGAGCTGTACGCCTCATAAATTATGACTTTCTGTATGTAAACAGAATTCTTTGCTGTTCACTGCATGAGAGAGAATATTTAAATATCGCTCACATATCTGAGAGACCTGCTCACAGTGTTAATTTTTTCTTGTGTGTTGTGTCCGTCAAGACCTCCCACAGCAACATGATTGTAAGGAAAACTGTAGCCAGGAGAGGAACTCCAGTCTCAACCAGGAGGACTCAGATCTTCCAGAAACTAAAGAGGAACAGGAGGAAATCTCCCTCAATCAGGAAGAAGAGCAGCTTTCACTGAAGCCAAAAACCAAAGACGTCATCGTCTGGACTGGGCAGGAGCTGGACATCATGTGGAACCCTGAAGTAAAGTTGGAAAGAATAGGTATGCAAAACTTTAGACAGACTCAGTTTTGTGTTAAGAAATCTAACTCCTGTTGGATCCTTATCAGACCTCAGAGGTATGTTATAGAGACACATGGAGAATCTAAGGTCCAACTGCAATAAGGAAACATGATGTAATATTCTAAGAGCCAAAATGTGTAGCCCTCACAGTGTCGCCCTTGTCAGGACTGTCCTATGTTGGAAATAATTAAGTTGAGTACAAGAGAGAGGAAGACTCCCTACAATGAGTTGACACATCAACTTTTTAATTATTCCTGCATATACATTTTTGCCATTCATATTGTCACGAGTCTTTTCTGTCGCGAGTCCGTCTCTCTTGTTTGTTTTTGGCCCACTTTGCACCAGAAAGAGGAAACCAGCGGCTGAACAACAGCAGCACATTTAAGCTTGATAAGCTGTTGTTAGAATTTATTTAATATTAATTTCTACACCAGGACCTTTTTCTACGTAGCTGACGCTGGTAACTGTGCAGGGGCGGATCTAGCAAAGTTTAGCCAGGGGGGCCGATAGGGCATTAACAGGGAAAAGGGGGCACAAAGACATACTTTTCTTTCTTATTCTCATTTAAAATGTCTAGCTTTTAATAAATAATTATCTGACACCCAAAGTTTTAATTTGATGTAAAATGAATAGAAGTCCATTACTGTACCGTATTTTCACGACCATAAGGCGCAGTCTCAGTTATGTGTGCCCTTACTGTATTTAACACACACATAAGGCGCACTGGACCATAGGGCGCATACAAGTACCGTATGCGTATTTAAAAATAAAGCGGGAGCAAACCTGAGTTTGGTACTCACATTTTTATTACCAGTAATCGTCATCATCAACAACATACAAGCATACAAGTGTGCGTATTTAAAAATAAAGCAGGAGCAAAACAAAGTTTGGTACTCACATTTTTATCATCAAACCCATCGAAGTCCTCATCCTCTGTGTCTGAATTGAACAGCTGCGCTAAATCTCCATCAAACATGCCAGGTTCACTTTCTTCACTGTCAGAGTCACTTTCCGTGCCGTGCGGCTCCTCGGAAATGATGCCGGCTTTTGCGAAAGCTCGAACAACAGTGCCAGCAGACATGTTAGCCCAAGCATCTACAATCCATTGGCAAATTGTGGCGTAACTCGCCCGGCGCTGCCTTCCACTCTTAGTGAAACTGTGGTCTCCACCGGTCATCCATCGCTCCCAGGCCGCTCGCAGCCTTACTTTGAACGGGCGGTTCACACCGATGTCCAGCGGTTGGAGTTCCTTTGTCAGGCCTCCCGGAATGACAGCAAGCTCACAGTTCATTTGTTTCACTAGTTTTTTCACATCGGCTGTGAGATGGGCACGCATAGAGTCACAGATTAAGAGCGATGGTGATGCGTGGAAAAAACCACCTGGTCTCCTTACATACACCTCCCTCAGCCACTCTTTCATCATTTCCTCATCCATCCAGCCCTTTTCATTTGCCTTAATGATGATTCCTGCTGGAATCTTCTCTTTAGGCAAAGTCTTTCGCTTAAAAATCACCATAGGTGGCAGTTTCTGTCCATTAGCATGGCAGCCAAGCACAACAGTGAAAGAAGACTTTTCATACCCCGTTGTGCGTATCGCTACCGTGCTGGTCCCCTGCTTCTCCACAGTGTGACTCACCGGGATGTCGAAAGTGAGCGGGACCTCGTCCATGTTTGTGATGTGGCTGGGCTGGATGTTTTTGTCGCCGATGTGTTTGCTGCAGTAGGAGCGGAAGATGGCCAGCTTTTCCTTATAATCCGCTGGAAGTTGCTGCGCTACCGTAGTCCTGGTCCGGATGGAAAAATGGCACCGTTTCATAAAACGAAAGCACCAAGACGGACCTCCTTGGAAATGTTCAATGTTCATCTCTTCAGCTAGTGAAACTGCTTTTAGCCGAATGGTGACCGTCGAAACGCTTCTCCCGCTCGCTCTTTGCTCGATGATCCACCGCTCGAGTCTTTCCTCCAACTTGGGCCACCTTGCCTTATGTCCGCGGAAACTCAGCTGCGTTTTCTTGACCTGCCGGAGCTTGTTTTCCAGCTTCCTCCATTTGCGAACCATCGATTCGTTAATCTTAAATTCTCTCGCCGCTGCTCGATTTCCATGTTCCTCCGCGTAGCTGATGGTTTTCAGTTTAAACTGTGCTTCGTAAGCGTGTCTCTTTGCCATTTTCAGGGTTGTTAAAACAACAATGTCCTGCATAATGCACATACCTGTTCTTTTATACAGGTATGTGCGATTTTCCCGGTATATACGATCAACGCCCACACTTCACCCTTTAACGTTCTCATGGTGTTCTCTACTACGTCCTCCTTACAACACATAGGGCGCGCCGCACTTTTTGAAGAAAATCTAAGACTTTTAAGTGCGCCTTATGGTCGTGAAAATACGGTATATAGTAACTATTAAGTCTAATATATATATATATATACCTAACTAATATATAAGCTATAGTACAAATATGTAAGCTATAGTACTTTTTCCTTTGGGAAGGTACCATCTGTGCAGTCTGCAATTTTGTTGAAGAAAGATGTTGAAACTATTTAATATTTTAATATATTGAAAAATAATTGATTTCTGTGCATTTTTTTTTTCCACACTGCATCAAATTAAGGTTGATTACGTCGATTAAGCATCATGAGGTGGACCGTGAGGGGTGGTTCCCTATTTTTTATTTATTTATTTTTGTTGTTGCTGGGAGTTGGAACTAGGGCTGCCACGATTAGTCGACTAGTCACGATTACGTCGACTATTAAAATCGTCGACGACTGATTTATTAGTCGACGTGTCGTTTGAAGCTTTGTAAGATCACAAAAGACGCAGGAATGAGTAGTAGGATTTAAGAGTGTCATAACAGACTGAAACTGAAGATGGCAGCACTGCATGTACAAGGATGCCAGCTGCCGTTAAACCCCGAAGAAGAAGAAGCAGCTGTGTCCCATAATTCATAGCGCAGCCCAGCGCAGTTGTCAACAATGGCGGCAGCTAGTTAGTTTTAATGTTACTCTTATTATTCTTTCTGGGTCACAAAATAAACGTTTAACATATTTTCAGGCGAGAATGTAGCTGTGTAAACCTCAAATATCTGCTCAGTTTATCAAGACACCACATATTTTCAAAAGCGCTCCGACGTTTTCGGAGACGTTTGTTACTCATTAGCTCGATAGTTAGCCGGGAGCAAGGCTCACTAGAGCCGTGAGAACACCGGACTCCCGGCAAATCGTTTTCAAACCCACCGCCGTCTTTGGCTACTCAGGTTAAATATATATGAGTCACTTAGATAACTTAAAAATGTTATTGTTTGGCTTTTTTTTAGTATTTTATTTGTTCCTGAGTAAATCGGTTTGGCTGAGATTAAAGTTATAGTTTTTACACAGCTGAATAAACGTCAAGCAGACAGCTGATTATCAGAAGCGTGAGATGCTCCAGAATATACTCCGGTGTCCCGTTATATTTTAGATAGCAAGGAGCAGACGGCTGAGTTTATTAAACTTCACCGAAACAATCTGCAGATGTCATTAAAATTTAATAAACTATCATCTTGTCTTTATTTTTAGTTAGCACATACCTTAAACACTTCAAGCTGTAAGCTAATGATAGTTATATAAGAGCAGATGCTGCTGGTGCAATAAGCTGTAGGTTTTACGTCCAATGGATGATGATCTGATTAGTCGACTAATCGCAAAAATAATCGGTGACTAGTCGACTATCAAAATAATCATTTGTGGCAGCCCTAGTTGGAACCCTATTAGTTAGGTTGCTTAACATTTACGCTAAGTACTCTTTAAAATACCAGAATAGGGAGGATGGTGTAGGTTTGAGTTTATTAGATTGATCAGTATTGCTGAACTATGAAATTATTTTTTTTTTGCATACAGGTATAACAGAATAGCTTTAGTGTAGTTGTTGTTTTAAACTTGAGTATGAACTTATACAAAATGCAGCAAGATATTTAAAAAAACAGTTTTGTTGATTAAAACACACTATATCTGATTCATATCGGTATCGGCAGATATCCAAATTTATGATATCGGTATCGGACATAAAAAAGTGGTATCGTGCCATCTCTAGTTTTTGGTGTGCCACCAATTAAAACTTTTAACTCGCTCAACCCATCTGGAGTGCAAAATGAACAAACTTTAGACAAACTGCCCGAAATGCGTTGACAGAGACATTTCAGGGACTTTGACAGAACTAGAAAAATATAAAGGCTTTAAACAAGATGAGAACTAAGGATGTAACCAAAGCCGTGTGCCGCTTGTGGAGACGTGTCGTGCGAGCAAAGTACTTAAACACGACTAACTTGCATGAGAACGTACGTGTCCACCATCCTGCTCAGTATGCTCGGCTATCACCAGCTTCTACAGCTCTATCAACAAGCACTTGGGCGCACTCTGAGGAGGGTGCATTTATTTGAAGATGAAAGGGGGTGCTGTTAAAACAGCACTATTTATTTATTTATTATTTTTTGACTCCTTCTATTAGCTCCATCATTAATAGCAAACGTACTCATGGGCAAATAAATAAATAAATTGCCCGTGTAAAAACAATCTCCTATGGGCTCAGCCTATCGTCGATAGTCTATATATGCGTTCAGTCACACAACCCTAATAGTTAGGAAGGATTTTATGTGGCGGTAAGTTCTGCATTTGCTTGTGTGCAGTCATATGGCATTATTACAGAAAAGTGTCCCAAATTTCCCACGTGTGGGACTAATAAAGGTTATCTTATCTTATCTTATCCTTTTTAATCAACTCCCACTATGATTTGTGGATAAATAATTCTTTAGCTTGTGTAACACGACCTTTTTCACTCATTCTCAATATGTTTTATTCATATAGGGAAATAATCCCAACAACGGTGTCCTGAAGGCTTTATACTGTAAGGTAAAGACGCTACAATATTAGAAAGAAACCACAACAATCGCACAACACCCTGTGTTACGTTTCCCTAAAAGGTCCGGGGGATGAGGGAAAGTAACAAAAAGTGTCCGGGTTGAAAAAAGGGAGGTGGGGAGGCAAACTGGTTAAATTGAAGAGTTTTATTAATGTTTCTCTTAATAAATGGTAACTGGCCTGCATTTATATAGCACTTTACATATCCAGTCATCCACCCATTCACACACACTGGTGATGGCAAGCTACATTGTAGCCACAGCCACCCTGGGGCGCACTGACAGAGGCGAGGCTGCCGGACACTGGCGCCACCAGGCCCTCTGACCACCACCAGTAGGCAACGGGTGAAGTGTCTTGCCCAAGGACACAACGACCGAGACTGTCCAAGCCAGGGCTCGAACCGGCAACCTTCCGATTGCAAGGCAAACTCCCAGCTCTTGAGCCACGATCGCCCCTAATAATTAAACTAAAAGCTGGAAAAGCCACTATCACATTTAGAAGACAACAAAACCCTGGAATCATTAGTCAGAGTAATATTTATGAGAATCTCACAGTTTTTGTTATAGCTGAATTTTTGTGTTGTTTTGAAATCGCCCCTGATGTATGATTATCTTTTTATTTACATAAATTACATGTCAACCTTGAATGATACAAAAACTGAGCAGAAAGCAAGAAGTGAAGTGTTTGAGTTTAAAGTTTCCACCTCATGGGTTTTAATTTTTTCAGTCAATTTAAGGAATTCCAGGTTTCCTCTGCAGCATGGAATGGAAAAAAAAATACTTTACGACATTACGGTTTGGGATAAATATTGTTAAATATTTATGTTCTTTTTTCTGAAATGTACGATTCCAAACTTAAATCGATCACAGAAGAAGAGTGTTTTTCATAGGGTTTGTAAATGAGCAGCCAAAATGGTCTCACTGAGTCAGCAAAACAACTTCTCCCCCAACATGCCTTTTATTGGCTTATCTGAGCGACATGCTTACCATGTGGAGACCTGCTAATGGCTAAGGTTACCTTGTAATTTCTCAAATATATGTTTTGTTTTTTGTCCCTTCAGATTTTCCACAACATGACTGTAAAGAACAGGAGGATCTTTTGCAGATTAAAGGGGAACAGGAGGAACTCAGTACCACTGAAGAGGGAAAACCGTTTGTACGAAAGCAAGAGACTCAAACTTTTCCTGCTCGTAAAGAAAGTGACCAGGGTGAACCAGACCTAAGTAGTGACCAGCTCCTTTCTCACAACTCTCCTGACACAGATCAGGATGAAAGCAAGGATGATAACTTACACAGAAATAAGTTGGAGGAAATCGTATCAGAGCTGCCAGTTCAAAATTCCAAGACAGTATATTTATGTGGCACCTGTGGGAAAAAATTTAATACTGCAAAAAACTTGAATCGACATATGAAAATTCACACAGGTGAGAAGCCACATTGTTGTAGCACCTGTGGGAAAAGATTTCATCGGAAGTCGCACTTGACTAGACACATGCAAATTCACACAGGTGAGAAGTTGCATTCTTGTAGCACCTGTGGGAAAAGATTTAATCGGAAGGAACATTTGAAAATGCACATGGAATATCATACAGGTGAAAAACGATATTCCTGTATCACTTGTGGGAAACGTTATAATGTAAAATCAAGTTTGGAAACCCACATGAAAATTCACACAAGTGAGAAGTCACATTGTTGTACCACTTGTGGGAAAAGCTTTAGTCAGAAGGGGCAGTTGAATAGTCACATGCGAATTCATACAGGTGAGAAACCACATTGTTGTAGCACCTGTGGGAAAAGATTTACTCTAAAGATATATTTAACTGAACACATGAAAATTCACACAGGTGAGAAGCCGCATTGTTGTACCACTTGTGGGAAAAGCTTTAGTCAGAAGGGGCAGTTGAATAGTCACATGCGAATTCACACAGGTGAGAAGCCATATTTTTGTAGCATATGTGGGGAAAGATTTAATGTAGTAACAAATCTGAAAATACACATGAAAAGTCACACAAGTGAGAAGCCGCATTCTTGTAGCACCTGTGGGAAAAGATTTAGTCGGAAGGCACACCTGACTAGACACATACAAATTCATACAGGTGAGAAGCCGCATTCTTGTACCACTTGTGGGAAAAGCTTTATTCAGAAGGGGCAGTTGAATAGTCACATGCGAATTCACACAAGTGAGAAGCCATATTTTTGTAGCATATGTGGGGAAAGATTTAATGTAGTAACAAATCTGAAAATACACATGAAAAGTCACACAAGTGAGAAGCCGCATTCTTGTAGCACCTGTGGGAAAAGATTTAGTCGGAAGTCACACCTGACTAGACACATACAAATTCATACAGGTGAGAAGCCGCATTCTTGTACCACTTGTGGGAAAAGCTTTATTCAGAAGGGGCAGTTGAATAGTCACATGCGAATTCACACAAGTGAGAAGCCATATTTTTGTAGCATATGTGGGGAAAGATTTAATGTCGTAACAAATCTGAAAATACACATGAAAATTCACACAAGTGAGAAGCCGCATTCTTGTAGCACCTGTGGGAAAAGATTTAGTCGGAAGTCACACCTGACTAGACACATACAAATTCATACAGGTGAGAAGTCGCATTCTTGTAGCACTTCTAGGAAAAGATTTACTCGAAAAAAATATTTAAATGAACATGCGAGAATTCACGCAGGTGAGAAGCCGCATTCTTGTAGCACCTGTGGGAAAAGATTTACTATAAAAGCATATTTAAATGAACACATGAAAATTCACACAGGTGAGAAGCCGCATTCTTGTGACACCTGTGGGAAAAGCTTTTCGCAGAAGGGGCATCTGAATAGACACGTGCGAATTCATACAGGTTAGAAACCACATTGTTGTAGCACCTGTGGGAAAAAATTTAGCTCTTCAGTACAGTTGAAAATGCATATAGGAAACCATACTGCATGCTAAGTTTAATTTTTAGAAAATGTTGATGGTAAAACAAAGTGTTTGGATCTTTGGAAACTCAGCGTCTGACAAAACTTTATTTTCAAAAGGTTTTCAGAAGCTCAATTTCTATGTTTACCTGTGGACAAAAAAACTAAATAACTTTTTTCTGACTTTTTTTGTTATTTGTGGGCTTTGACTTGGCTAAAGGTTCTCTTTGAACAGTGCTTGAGATACTTTTTGTCTTGATGCAAAAAGAATTTCTCAAAAATACACTAGAGAATATCTGTTTAAAAAATGCCTGTGTACATATCGAGGAATGGAGGGATAGAAGTGACAAAAATGAATTGATTAAATACACCATTAAATAATTCAATTCAATGTGTCAATAAATAGAGGTTTGGGGTAAACGCTGTTCGAGTCAAAACCATTGCTTTGGCCGGGTTGCCATTCTTTTTTTTCTGGGCGTTTCTCCACACCAACAACTGGCATGTGGAAACTAACTGAACTGTACTTTGAAATACCCTGTTTGTGTGTCACCAAATACACTTTCAATATTTTTTTTAGCCCAGTCTCATGGCAAAGCCTGTGGGTGTGATAGGAATGATGTGGAATCCAGTAATTAAAGGAAGGGGAAGGGGAATTTACAGGGAATGACACTGTTAAGCAGTTGATCCATTTACTCGAATTGTTTGTGACCCATATATTTATGTCAGTATCTATGTTTATATCATACTTTTATGTGAACACCTGTTGATACCCAGCTGCTGTTTTGAGCTTTAATAATTTGGATCTAAAAAAAAAAAAGTGTAACTTTGACAGTGCTGTTTTCCATTTTGACAGGTTTGTGACATGTGATTGGTGGAAACTAGACAAAGATGCATCTAGTAATTATTTTTATCTATATGTCATTTGGAAGGTCCAAACTGTCCAAAGTTGTAGAATAGCCTAATTACGAAAACTTGTACCTTACATTTGGTAGTGCAAATTGTTTTAAAGGAATAAAAATCTGAAGTAGTATTAATTGCTTCTCACTGTAAAGCTGGCATAACAGCCATTATTCCTGACCCTATGAACTCACCTGAGTCAAAACCTGTCAAAATAAACTGAAGATAATGGCTGAAGAGGTCATTGGAAGAAATCCCAGAAAGTTATGCAAGACAAGTGTTGATTATCAGAAAGATTCAACACATTCAAGGGGCTTAATCATACTGACTCCCTTGATTCTCGTCCTCACTTTCCAGGTCCTCCACCGCTTAGTCACCTGTAACCGCTCAGTTATCCACAGTGTGTCCAGCAGCTGTCTGCAGCTGCAACCGTTGAGCCAATATTCTGTGACACAGTTTCTTCAGCACCTGAGCCCTTCTACAGGGAGTTGATTCGCTGCGGGGGATTCCTGAAGTAATGCTTGCTGATTTTCAGCTGCTCACCACGTTCATTGCCCAATAAGACAGAAAAATTATCCTATCTTGTAGGGCAACTGAGGTGAAGGGTATTAGCATAGGCCGAAGCGTATTTTTCTTTTCACCCACCGGCCTATTTTTATTTTTATTTTTTATTTTTTTGTGAACTGAATACATAGGCCCTTTTGAAATTGAAACTATTATCAACCCACTAGCCATTAAACTTAAATTGCCTACAGTTCTTCGCATTCATCCTACTTTCCATGTCTCAGCCTGCTGCCCTTGCGTGCTATAGCATAGAGGATGGCACTGGCCACAAAAGATTTGTAAAAATATCCTGAGGATTGTATGACAGATGTTGAAAGACCTCAGCCACCTCAAAAAATAGAGACAACTCTGGCCCTTCCTGTAGAGTGGAGTTGTGTTTTTAACCCAGTCCTGTTTGTTATCCATGTGTACTTCACTGTGTTTGTAGTCCTCCACAATGTCCACATCGTCCCACTGGATTGAAATAGTGGTCCATGGTTTCATAGTCCTTAAAAGTCCACAATCAAGTCAGGTCACTTTCAGCTGCAGATGATTCTGTTTGCACTACGTGACAAAGGAATGAACCACAGCCTGGTACTCATCACTCTCACTGACGCATCCAACCACCGAGGAGTCATCAGAAAGTCACAATCACAGTGCTCGCCGGCTGGCTCAGATAGGCATAGACACGACTGAGCATGTAGATGATTGCAAGGCGAAATTAACACACATGACAGATGGAATGACGCACAAAGGGTAACCTGTAAACAAGAAGAGGAGACAAAACACAAACTGAGTAAGAGAGACACGAAGAGAGACAAAGCCATCACTGAGACACATAAAGGATGAGGGAGACTTAAACACAGGGGATATGACAGACTCAAAAACTGAAGACACGACACTATAATCACCATAGTGGGGAAGACACAGACATGGAAGGAACCTAAACAGATAAGAACTAAGTAAGAAAACCTGGGGAACATAATACAAAAAGGCATAAAACTTAAAATGCTGGATCAAAAGGCCCAGAACCAGGACAGAACCATATATAATGCAAATGCTCTTTCAAACATATAAAACACATTGTACTCCTTTTAGAAGGAATATCAGAATTTTTCTAAAGACTTGAACCATTATTATTTTATATTTTAACATGGATTTCAGTGTTTTATTATATCAGCACATTTTTAACCTGGTTACAAAGAATTATTATTAGATCGATTAAAGAAAATCAGGAAAATGTAAACTGACAAACAAAACAAAAAACATTTATTGAATAAATCAATAGGCTAACACATAATAAATCCTGTTTATTTACAAATAACCTATATTCATATGTATCATGTTGATAACAACAATGTTTATATTTATAAATAAAAAAGTCACATTTATTAATCATGTAAATAAAACGCATTTATCATAAACATCCACATGATATCAGAAAGAAATTATCCAGTTCAAATGACGTTCACATTTTGAACATCGACGTCCAGGTTGGGTCATGGTTGGACGTTAAAATTGTGGACCAAGTTCAAATGTCTACAGATGTCCAGAGAATTGGTCATGGACCGACAGACCCAATATAAACATGATCTGCACATCTATCTGACGTCCAATATTTAGTAGAGAGAGTCTGACTGTCATGATCTGGATGTCTGAGCTTCCGTGGTATCCGGCCATGGGCAGGGCCTACAGCCTCCCTCACCTGGAGCTGATTGAGTCAATTAGGCTGGAGATTTAAGCTCCTTCCTTACGCTGTTTCCTCGCTAGTTCACCAACAACCCTATGTTGGTAACCAGGCCTCACGCGTCATACCAGTAATTTTCAAGTACTTTACTTACCTTGTGTTCTAGTTGCTCCTGGTTATTCCACAGTGCTGAACAACTCATCCTGGAAATGTGGTTCACCTGCCTGCTTTTTGGAATTATGTCCTTGCCTCACCTGCCTGCCCTCAAACTACCACGAAACCTTTAACACTCAGGACAGCCGACACACACCACTAATCCCACCTGGACCACAACACCTCTCCTTCAACACTTCATCTCCCACCTGCACAGTAAGACAAAGAAATTCATAGCCTCCACTCTCTCCAGAACTCCTCACTGGCTACCATTTTAACACTGCTCTCCTCTCTTCCAGCGGGTACCTAATCACCAGTCCAGCTCCCGTTGCTTTCTTGGACCCGTCACTCTGCTTTTACTCCTCTCGCCGAGCCAAGACCTCACGCCCTGTTTATCAAGCCTTTAGTCGAGTGCCATTGTAAACATTATCCTTGTGCTGGTTCGTAAGCAAATGCTTCGAGAAGCTGGTCAGGGTCTTCATCTGCTCTGCACTACCCGACTCACTGGACCCTCTACAGTTCGCATACCGCCACAACAGGTCCACTGATGATGCCATAGCCCTGACACTACATACTGCCCTGTCACACCTGGAGAAGAGAGACACGTATGTGAGAATGCTGTTTGTAGATTACAGCTCAGCATTCAATACCATCGTTCCCTCGAAGCTGGACAGGAAACTGCAGGATCTAGGACTGAGCAGCTCCCTCTGCAGCTGGATCCTTAGCTTCCTGTCTGACAGACGCCAAGTGGTCAGACTGGGCAGCATCACCTCATCCCCCATCACACTGAACACTGGTGCTCCACAGGGGTGTGTACTGAGCCCTCTCCTATACTCACTCTACACCTACGACTGCACAGCCACTAACAACTCCAACATCATTGTGAAGTTTGCGGACGACACTACAGTGGTGGGTCTTATCACCAATGGTGATGAGACGGCTTACAGGGAGGAGGTCAGCGCCCTGACCCACTGGTGTCAAGACAACCATCTCACCCTCAACGTCGCAAAGACAAAGGAGTTGATAGTGGACTTCCGGAGGTGCAGAGAAGTACACACCCCCATCACCATCAACGGCGCTGCTGTGGAGAGAGTGAGCAGCTTCCGGTTCCTTGGTGTACATCTGGCTGAGGATCTTACGTGGTCAGTACACACAAACAAAACAGTGAAGAAGGCGCAGCAGCGCCTCTTCTTTCTCAGGAGACTGAAAAGATTCGGCATGAGCCCCCGCATCCTCAGGACCTTCTATCACTGTGCCATTGAGAGCATCCTCACTGGATGCATCACCACCTGGTATGGCAACAGCACCGCCTACAACTGTAAAGCTCTCCAGCGAGTAGTGCGGTGCTCTGAACGGATAATTGGAGGTGAGCTTCCCTCCCTCCAAGACATCTACAGGAAGCGCTGCCTGAGGAAAGCGGGGAGGATCATCAAGGACTCCAGTCACCCCAGCCATAAACTGTTCAGACTACTTCCATCAGGAAGGAGGTTCTGCAGCATCCGGTCCCGTACCAGCAGACTGAGAGACAGCTTTTTCCATCAGGCCATCAGACTGCTGAACACGTCATAGACACCTCAGCTTCACTACTGGAACTTCAACATTATGCACTCCACACTGTATATAAATGCCACTTGTTTTGCACATATTCAACTCTGTATATTTTATATATTTTATAATTATTATTATTATTATTTTTTTTTTTACTATTTAATTTATAAAAATGTGTATACACACACACACACACACACGTAGGAAAATATTTAGTATACACATCCAGAAATGCATACACTATTATATATTGTACATATATTTATTAGTTTCAGGTTGGCCATTCTTGTATTTTGCTCGTTTGTGTTGTTGTGTTTGCACATCTCTGTTGCTTGTGGGGCTCGCACACAAGAATTTCACTCGCATGTGCTGTGCCAGTGTGCCTGCACATGTGATGTGACAATAAAAGTGATTTGATTTGATTTGATTTGATTTGTTATTTCACTTCCACTACATGGACTTAACAGAGAAATCAAGAGACCCTCCTTTATCAAACAGATTGTAAATAATTATAGTTATGATTATAATCTATGAGGACATCATTCTTTATGTTAAATGTTGGAAAAAACTAAAGATTTTTCCATTAAATCAAACTTTAATCAATGAATTTTCTTTATTCCACGATATCCCTTATAATCGCGTGGCAAAAATATCAACCTAGGCTAAGAGAATCTGAGTGTTTAGAACAGAACAAGACTGTTGATGAAAACAGCAGGCACACAGTAACATCAAGCAGCACGGTTTAACCTGAACACATTAAAAATGTCAAAAAGGGGGGGGGGGACTTTAAATATTTAAAAATCTTTCTATCAACAAAGCATTCTTACTTTACCGCTGCTGTGATGATAATAAAGCAACAGTATGAGTGTGAGGCATGTAAGTCAGAAAGGGTTAAGCATGGTTTGATGGTCTGCAGAAAGAAGCCTTATGCACAATGAATTGGTCATTTGAAACCATTAATTCTTTATCCAGGTTTCTGGAAAGTGCCAGACTTGATTTTTGTTGGACTGACCTGATGAGGGCAGCAATGCGCCTTTGATACTTCCAGTCTACCGGAAGTTCAATAGAAGAAGAATAGCGGAAATGATGCCGTTCAGCGCTTGCATCGTGAATGAGTTTTGTTTGAAGAATTTAGTTTGAATGTATCGGTTGTTGTAGCAATAATGTCTTCAGTTCTTCATCTGAGAGAGTTTATAGAGGGGAGATTAACTGCTGCCGCAGAACAAATCTTCTCAGAGTTTGAAAAAACGATCGTCCGGTATGAGGAGGAGATCAGTCGGCTAAGACTGCTGGATATCAGACCCGGGATAAAGTCACACAGTACAGGTGTGGGGATTTCTGTTATTAGTAGTAAATTCATGCGTTGATTTACAATAGTTTTTAATATAATCAGCCAATTACATGACAGCAGTCAATGCATTTCGGCATGTAGACGTGGTCAAGATGACCTGCTGTTAGTTCAAAGTGAGCGTCGTTTTGGGGAGGCGAGTTGGATTTAAATTACTTTGAGCGTGGTGTGGCTGTTTGTGCCACACTGGCTGTTCTCAGTGTTTCAGAAACTGCCGATCTGCACAAACGTCTGTATGATTTAGAGAGAGTGGTCCGAAAAGAGAAATTATCTAGTGAAGGCAGTTCTTTGTTTATGTCAGAGAAGAATGGGGAGACTGCTTCAACCTACAGGAAGGCAACAGTAGGTCCAATTATGACTTTTTGCAACTAAGATATGCAGAAGAGAATCTCTGAATACACGTAACTAGTAGGGCTGGGCGATATATCGAGGTTTTTTTTAAAGATATCGATATATTTTCATACGAGATATAAGATGTGACAATATCGTTTATATCGATATAGTCTATGTTACGTTATAATTATACTTGTGGAGCCGCAGGTTTGCCTCTCTTTCGTCCACTTTTGTCTCTACGCAACGTTACTCGGCCTCGCCTCTCCTGCACTGAACACAACTCCCCCTCCCCCATAGCTTCACCTGCAGGCAATGACAAGATGAAAGCGGAAAATCTCCGTTAGCGAGTTACCGTGCGTGGGGCTGGACGGCGTCAACGTGTTAGCGAGCTAACCGCGCTAACGAGCTAACCGCGCTAACGACATGCAGCCCGGAGGAGCTGCACGGCCTAAAATCCTTTCATTTTCTCAAAAATCGACAGCGCGCCTTATGTATGAATTCTGGTTGTGCTTGCTGACCACAAACCGATTTTATGTGGTACACAGCGCTCAGCAATCTGTCAAAAAATGTTTTAATATGACTTTGCTAAGCTACGGAGCTGCACCGCTTGATGTCGGAGGATTACGGCTACCGGGGAGGAGCCTCGCGGAGTGATACGTACTGTGTGTGTATAAGGACCATAAATGGCACCTGTTCAGAGACGTGGTGCAGCTCTGAAATCTGTCTCTTTGTTACTATGCTCACCGTCTATTAGTTTACATTTTGACTGCACAATTGTGAGCTTTTTGTTATGCACAAAAACAACATTGTTTTCTTTTATTTATGGACCATGATTATTTAATAAATGCTGATAATTTATTTTTGAGTAATTTCTTCATGTACATCTACGCTGTATGTAAATAAAAGTGCCCGTGTGACATCTGGGACACAGTGTGACTAGGAACTCTTTTTGTTCTTAACTTATGGCTTTAAAAAAAATATCGAGATATATATCTTATATCATCATCCAGCTAAAAAATATCGAGATATGAATTTTGGGTCATATCGCCCAGCCCTAGTAACTAGCACTGTGTACCTAATAAAGTGACCACTGAGTGTGCATTGATTAGTAAAATATTAGAAAATTAGCATTAACATATACCGGCCTTCTTAAAATGCTGTAGGTTTTCATTATCATATTCTAATCATCCTGTTGTTCATTTGTTTGTATGTTTTTTTTTCTTTTATTTATTTATTTTACATTGTGTGGTAATCACTGGCAGTCACATCTAAAAATTGGACCACAGTTGTACAGCTGCAGGGTTAATAACAACACCCAATCAACAAATGACTATGAGTAAATGTTTCTCTGGCAAAGTCTGCAAGAATGGAAGAATCCATGAAACCATGAACTTAATTCTCCATAGGTGACTATTGTCACAATTTTCTTGTGTCTCTTTGTTGAACACGAAGGTCTGGATGAGCAGCAGGTCTGTGACCAGGAGGGGAGCTCCAGTCTCAACCAGCAGGACCCAGAGCCTCCACAGACTAAAGAGGAACAGGAGGAAACCTGCAGCAGTGAGGAAGGAGAGCAGCTTGAACTGAAGCAGGAGGCTGAAGGCATTCATGTCTGGACAAGGGAAGAGCTGGATTTGTTGTGTAAACCTGGAGTAAAGCTGACCACAACAGGTATGCAAAACTCTAATATATTAATATTATTATTATTTCATAATTCAGAAATGAATATGACTCATATAAAAACATCACATGATGATATCAGAGTTAACTCCTCATGAAAAGAGCTCACAAAGACAGGCGGTGTGCATTCCTGCCTGGCATGCTGCCTCACTGAAGACATGTTTTGTGTTAGTACAGTAAAATAAAAACTGGGTTTTAAATCTATATTTTATTTTCTGCATATAGATTTAAGTCATGTTGGCTCAGAACTGTACGCAGAATGTAGGAAAACCGTTGAGGCAATGAAAAATGTGGATATTGGCCACAAGGACCAAGTTGGACTAGTGATTTGTACGCCTCATAAATGATGACTTTCTGCATATGAACAGAATTCTTTGCTGTTCAGCGCATGAGAGGGAATATTTAAAACACCTTAAAGACCTTAAATATCACTTGCATATCTGAGAGACCCATTCAGCTACTTTTTAATCCAAAATGTAATCAGCCTATTACATTGCAGCAGTCAGTGCATTTCGGCATGTAGATGTGATCAAGATGACCTGCTGAAGTTCAAAGTGAGCGCTGATTTAAATCACTTTGATTGCGGTGTGGGTGTTTGTGACAGACTGGCTCCACTGAGTGTTTTAGAAACTGCTGATCTGCTGAAATTTTCCAGCATCTGTATGATTTGCAGAGAGTAGTCCGAAAAATAAAAAATCTAGTGAGGGCAGTTCTTTGGGTGAAAACTCCTTGTTGATGTCAGAAGAGAATGAACAGACTGCTTCAACCTGACTGTCCAATAAGCACATTTTGCAACTAAGATATGTAAAAGAGCATCTCTGAATACACATAACATGTTGAATCTTGAAGCAGATGGGATACAACAATTGATTAGTATAATTGGTTACAACACCATTACCTTAAAATGACAGTGAGTTCACTGTACTTAGGTCACCAGCTCTCAACCTCATAGAGCACCTTTGGGATGTGGTGGAACACAAGATTTGCATCATGGATGTGAAGATGACAGATATGCAGCAGCTGTGTGAAGCTCTCGGGTTAATATAAACCAAAATATCTGAGGAATATTTCCAGCATTTTGCTGAATCTCCACAAAGAATTAAGTCAGTTCTGAGGACAAAAGGGCCTCCAATCTAGTACTAGGAATGTGTACCTAATAAAGTGACCAGGGTATTTTATTAGTAAAATATTAAAAGATTAGCTTTCATTGTCATATTCAGATCATCCTGCTGTTCATTTGTTTGTGTGGTTTTGTATGTTTTTTTTTTAATTTTTTATATATTGTGTGCTAATCACTGGCAGTCACAAAAATTAGCACTTTAACACTCTCTAACACCTTCTTGACAGTTTAGCCTCTGTTAGAATCACTGACAAACTCTTAAACTGGTTTAAATATTTTCTCTCTGGCTCCTGTCGGTTCAACCAAGTCATAAAATGTAAATTCCCAAGAATTCTCATTTCCAATGCGGTGTTCCCAAGAGATTCTTCTTGAGATCTCTGGAACTCCTTCCCACCAGACATCCATTACATTGACTCTCTCTTCACTTACAAGCAAGCAGAATATGAAATGTTTAGTTTGTTAAATATGAGAAAAAGGTCAAGTTGCTAAAGCTTAGGGAGACTCGGGGTCAGAATATTGACTATGTTGACATTTTCTTGTCATAACATTAGTCACTATTTTCTTGTGTTCTTGTGTTGAAGATGAAGTTCTGGATAACCAGCAGGTCTGTGACCAGAAGAGGAGCTCCAGTCTGGACCAGCAGGACCCAGAGTCTCCACAGACTAAAGATGAACAAGAGGAAATCTCCCTCAATCAGGAAAGTGACCAGCTTTCACTGAAGCCAAAAACCAAAGATGTCATCGTCTGGACTGGGCAGGAGCTGGACATCATGTGGAACCCTGAAGTAAAGTTGCAAAGAATAGGTATGTGTGCTTCCTAAAGTCCTCAATAAATCTACACTGTCTTCTGGGCGTTCGGCACCAGGTTGTTGCGGCTGCACCAGGACACCAGACGTTCAGCCTCCATCCTGTAGACGGACTCATCCCCGTCCAAGATGAGTCCAATAACGGTGGTGTCATCTGCAAACTTAATCAGCTTGACAAACTGGTGGCTGGAGGTGCAGCAGTTAGTGTACAGGGAGAAGCGCAGAGGAGGACCAGGATTTGCCATTATTAAAACTCACCCTGGCACAATGCTGTCCTTGCAGAAGTGGATATAGGAGGTGACAGTGTCGTAAACTCATCCCAGCCTTTAGAAGTAGCCCTCAATGTGTCCCAGTCTGTAGATTCCAAGCCGTGCGTCTCTCCTCCACAGCCTCCTTACTCCAGTTTTTTTAGTCCTCACAACAGGTTTGGAGAGCTTCAGCCTCTGTACGCGTGCATCAGAATGATCATGACGTGGACAGAAAGTCAGAGTGCAGCACACGGCACAGGGTGATAGGCTTCGCTAATCGTGCTGTAACTGTGATCCAATGTCCTCTCCTCTCTGGTCGAGTATACTGTTTATATTTGAAAGCTCCTGGCTCACATTGGCTTTTTTAAAGTCCCCAATTTTGAGGAAAAGCAACCTTTTAGCAGAAAGGGGAGGGGCGGCTATCTGCTGCAACCAGTTGGAGGTGAGTGGAGGGGGAGGAAAGCAGAGAGTGCCAGAATTCAATTCTATAAAATGTGATAGTGGTGTAGTATAAACACACAGCGCGAAAAGAGGTGAGTGAAGAAGAAACACTCGGGCACCATGGGAAGCCCTGAGCAGCCTAATCCTATTCATTTATATAAATAAAATTGAATTGAATTAACTGCTCAGGAAATTTATGGTTAATCTAAATAAAAATGTACTTCACTAGGTGTCATGTAAAGGTTTTGACTAATTTTTAAATAAACATTTAAGTGTTTTCTGCCATTTAACCTTTAATACAAGCCTTTCTATATCAAGTGTTTTGTTTTCTCCTACATTTTGTTTGTTTTGTTACAAATCACCTTTATTTTCTCATCCTTGGTGATCTGTTTATGTTTTATTTGATCTTTGTTCTTGCCCAGTTTTGATGTTTGATTGTTGCTGTTATACATATATGAATCAAACCACAAACGCACAGTGTTGTGTTGTCGGTTATGGCATCTTCTCTGTTGGGAGCACATAGAGGCAGGTTGATAACCATGGAGGAGCTAGAAGAAAGAGGTGGTGGTCTGATATCAGTTTTACGCAGGAGGTTTTCATGCAACATTTTGGGGATGAGTTTTGAACAGGAGCAAAAATCTTGGTGAAACACATGTGAGATGTTCAAGGCAAGAGTTTAAGTCAGTTGAACCAATTTTAGATATCACTGAAATTACAGACTCAACAGTCACCTAATATCACAGAAAGTACGACACAGTAATATTTATGAGAATCTAATAGTTTGTGTTTTTTTACAGCTGACTTTTTTTTTTTTGGAAATCTCCCCTGATAGGTGATACAAAAATTAGATTTCCACTATTAACTGATGCAGAAGCTGAGGAGAAAATAAGAAGTCAGTTTAAGTGAGTGTAAGTTTAAAATGTCCACCACCTTCTCTGATAAAATCTACACCCAACAAAGTTTGGGTGTAGATTTTGTTCTGCCGGTTTTCAAGAATTTGAGGTTTGCTCTGCAGCATGGAAAGGGAAAAAATATTCAAACAGATTCCGGATTGGGTTAAGTATGGTAAATATTTATATTTGACTTTCTGAAATATATGATTCTAAACTTAACTCGATCACAGAAGAAGAGTGTTTTTTCATATAGTTTGTAAATGAGCAGCCAAAATAGTTTCTCCCCACAACATGCCTTTCACTGGTATATCTGAATAACATGCTTACCATGTGGAGACCTGCTAATGGTTAAGGTTACCTTGTAATTTCTCAAATGTATGTTTTGTTTTTTTAATCTGTCCCTTCAGATTTTCCACAACATGACTGTAAGGACAAGGAGGGGCTCACATATCAGCACGTCTGCTACCAGACGAACTCCAGTCTGGACCAGGAGGATCCTTCACAGATTAAAGAGGAACACAAGGAACTCGGTACCACTGAAGAGGGAAAACCGCTTGAACAAAAGCAGGGGACTGAAACTTTTCCTGCTAGTGAAGAAAGTGACTACAGGGAACCAGAACCAAGCAGTGTCCTGCTCCTTTCTCACAACTCTCCTGTCACAGATCAGTGTGAAAGCAAGGACAATGACTTACACAGAAATAATTTGAATCAAATCATAGCAGACCCGATGGTTAAAAATTCCAAGAAAGTACATTCATGTAGCACCTGTGGAAAGACATTTAATAGGACGGGAAGCTTGAAACGACATATGCAAATTCACACAGGTGAGAAGCCACATTGTTGTAGTTGCTGTGGAAAGACATTTAATAGGACGGGAAGCTTGAAACGACATATGCAAATTCACACAGGTGAGAAGCCACATTCTTGTAGTTACTGTGGAAAAAGATTTAGTTGGAAGTCAGACTTGACAAGACACATGCGACTTCACACAGGTGAAAAACCACATTCTTGTAGTACCTGTGGGAAAAGATTTAATCGGAAGGAAGATTTGAAAATACACATGGAATATCATACAGGTGAAAAACGATATTCCTGTAGCACATGTGGCAAAAGATTTCATCTAGACACAAATTTGAATAGACACATGAAAATTCACCTATGTGAGAATTCTTGTGGCATTTGTGGAAAAGGTTTTGGTAAGAAGACATACCTGAATAGACACATGCGAACTCACACAGGTGAAACGCAATATTCTTGTATCACTTGTGGGAAAAGATTTCATTTAAAAACAAATTTGAATACACACATGCGAACTCACACAGGTGAAACGCCATATTCTTGTAGTACATGTGGGAAAAGATTTAAGTGGAAGCCGTATTGGAAAATGCATATGGATTTTCATACAGGTGAAAAACAACATTCCTGTATCACTTGTGGGAAAAGATTTCATTTAAAAACAAATTTGAATAGACACATGCGAATTCACACAGGTGAGAAGCCATATTACTGTAGCACCTGTAGGAAAAGATTTAGCAACGCAGCACATTTTGCAAGCCACATAAAAAGTCATACAGGTGAGAAACCACACTGTTGCAGAGGCTGTGGGAAAGGCTTTATCCTTAAGTCAAGCTTGATAAGACACATGAGAGTCCACACGGGTGAAAAACCTTATTGTTGTAGCACATGTGGAAAAAGTTTCAGTTCTTCGGTACAGTTGAAAATGCATATGAAAAACGATGCTAGATGCTAAGTTTCATTCTTAGAAAATGTTAATGGTGTCTCTCGCTACATGCACGTGTACATTTGGTAAACGTGCATTGTGTCATAGATCCTAGTAAACTGGATTATTACACACACACACACACATACACACACACACACCTATCTATCTATCTATCTATATAAACAAGATTCAATAAACATTTATTTTTAACTTGACTTTCCATCTGTTCCTCTCTTCTGTTCGACATGCGGTTAGGTCTCGCACCTTAAATTCCTCTACTGCTGCTGCTAAATTTTCTGATATTTTGAATTTAGTTTTACCTTCCTATAACGATGTTGATTTACTAACAAATCTTTTTAATAATTATTGTCTTTCTATTTTAGGCAATGTTTGTCCTCTCAGAACCGTCCCTGTGAAAAAATGACAGTATTTGCTATTCAATTCCTGTTGTATTATAGAGGAAAACTTGTCTACATGTTAATCTCTTTCATTTAAAGGCCCTTTTAGTTTCATTTAACGCATCAGTTTGAGATGCAAGGGCTGCTTATTTCTCAGACTTAGTTTCAAGGAGCAGAGGTAACCCCAAGGTATTATTTGACATCATTAGCGATATTGTTGCTCCTGCTCCACCTGCTGGTCCAGTTTCATTGAATGAAGATTGTAAAAATGTTCTTTCTTTCTTCATTGAAAAAGTTAGTAATGTGAGGAACAATATCTGTCCTTCTGTGTCTCTGTTTAGTAACGCTGCATTACTGCGTTACTAAACCGTGATTTTTTTTTTTTTTTTGCGAGAATGTCTCATGACAGTGACGTAAGCGAGTGCAACGTTCGTGACAACAGCTGTGTGCATGAACTTGGGATCTAGGGACTTCGTGATCTCGTTTAAAAACAGCTAAAAACTCATCTTTTAAAATTTCCTTGTGGTTATTTTTTTATGTTTTAGTTTCTTGTGAAGCACTCTGTGATGTTTATGTTGAAAACTGTAATACAAATAAAATTTTACTTGCTTTGTACTTACTTAATTTGCTATATATAACTTTAGTTTTTCTGAAAATTCTAAGAAATTTCTTTATTAAATAAGTAAACTAAAAATAGTGTTTATTCTATTTTATAGTTTTAATATTGGATAACAACTGACTTGAACATAATATGAATGTGTTTTCACTCTGGGAACTGTGGATCCATTGATAGCTTTAGTAATCTAAAAGTTATTTATATTTAGAGGTTTGTCGTTTTCCATTTGCATTTAGATAGGCCGATGCATGGTGATTCTCTGATGTGTATCTGTTTCTACCTGTGTTGATGCAAGCATGACCAAAGCTAGCCAAGAAGCAGTAAATATGTGAAGCAAGGCAGAAAGATATACTCATCAAATGAACAAACTCTTAAGAATATAACACCAGCACTGCATATGTAACAAAGATGTGTTGACACAATGACAAATCTATTTCCTCCAAATTTTGTATTTATTTTCCCCCAAATTGTACAAATTAGTCTGTGATTGGCCTTAGTGTACCTAAAATCATATTTATACAAAACTAAATATGACTCGCGAATATGTTTCAAATGGATGATTCCTCACTTGATGACAAATTTACGTATTTGCTGTGTCCTAAATTTGATGCCAGTGAACTTCTCAGCGGTTGATTTAACAAAGCCCCAAAATCCCCTATGAGCAAGCACTTGGCGACAGTGGGGAGGACAAACTCCCTTTTAACAGGGAGAAACCTCCGACATAACTAGGCTCAGAAAGGGGTGGCCATCTGTCGCGACTGAGTGGGGTTCAAATGTTCACTGAAAATTTAGTTTTATATAAATATGATGTTGAGCTCAAAAACCTATAAAGTTCCTAACTCTGACAGCTTCTCTGCAAAGGGTTTCCCTAAGAGAGAGGAAAAGTGGTTATCAAGAACTTGAGAACATTACCTACATATAAACAATTATAAATTTGTTGGGGTTTTTTCACAATGTCAGAAGGAGAGAGGCACTGAGGCACCGTCTTCCACCCCCCGGCGCTCCTGCTCTGCCTTTTCCTTCTGACAGGAACTGCCTACAGAGCAAGTATGAATGATGCCTGAGTGGATGTACACAACTCACAAGTTCCTGGCTCTCTCAGGTCCTCTGCAGAGGGTCTCCCTAGGATGGCGGGCATAGCAGGGCCACGGGGGACGGGGGGCTGTGCCTCACTGCCCTCCCCTCGTCGAAGAAACCCTCGTGCAGAGGAGTTCAGAAAGCCAGAAACTTGTGAGCCTCCACCATTTACTGGTGGGTGCAGCCTGAGCTGTCTAGAGACAGACCAGACCAGCTGCACAACACAGACACTTCAAACCTCATCTGAGGACAAAAACTACCACAACATCAGAAACAAGAAAGAAAAAGTAGGTTAGAACCATTCAGGGTTACAGGAGACGGCTGCACTGCTGAGGTGAGGACCGGCAGCTGTTTGAAAGAGACAACACAATAAACACAAACACACACAACAGCAGACGAGAAAAAAAGAGGGAGAGAGGAAAAAGTGGTTATCAAGAACTTGAGGACATTACCTACATATAAACAATTATATATTTGTGAGGTGAACCTGTGTGGGTCTTTTTTCTGTTAGTGACCTACAGAAAAAAGAAAGAAAACTTACCTCAGAAATCTGCAGGGTTGTTTTCTCTGAGACATGTTTGAATCTATAAACAGCTACTCCGAAAAGGATCCAGGTGTTTCAAAATACTTCTCTGGAGAATGTTTCAATTCTGCGAACATAAATGCAGCGATTAACCGACTGAAAGTGATCGCGTTTCACCAGCCTTTCCATGCCTGAGTCTGCATTAACTGTAAGCACTGAAGTATTTTAAATGATGAGTCATCTAAAGAAATCATCCTGTGTATAGCTGTTTGAAGGGAAAATCAGATTTGCTGATCTGCCCACCCAGAATCTTTCTGAAACATCCTGCAAAGAACTATTTTTCACTTTCTTACTTTGAGTACATTTCGGAGCCTGTACATTTTTTAACTTCTACTTGATTCAAGAAGTTGAAACAGTATTTAAACTTTTATTTTTTAAAAGTAGTATTTGTACTTCTACTTAAGTACAGAATGTCTGTACTTTTACCACCTCTGGGAGAGACTGATAGCAGCCTGATAGCGGCTGCAGAAGAAATGTTTTAAAAAAAGGATAGTGGAAAACGGGAACTAAAACTAAAAAGCAGTCTAAGGGGTTACTTTTGTCCCTGGCTGCAATAAAGATATTCTGGACTTTTATGTTAAGAAATTAAGGCTATAGTGTCCACTTTCAGTCTGCGTCTCTTGAGCAGTAAGTGGTTCTACATTGTTTTGCTAGCTGCACTGATTTGGAAAACCCATCTGTTAGCTGATATGCTCTGATAACAATCTTTATAAATCTTCTTGTTTTCCAGTGAGCTCTCAGTTCTGTCATTAGTTAGCTAACATAAACATGTTCTAAAAACTTTAAGCACTCATTTCCTAAATCCAGCTTCACAGACATTGTTAAATCTATGTCTGTCTGGCAGAGAGAAGACCCAAATGCAGACGTGTGGTGACTGAAATGAGTTAACTGTTGTTAAGGCTGATTGACAAAACAGAACAAAAATAAGAAAACCAAACGGAAACAAGGAACTAAGCAGGAAAACCTAAACGGGATAGACCACTAGGAACTTGGAGACGCAGGAGAACAGACACTCTGACAAAGGACAGAGGGATGAGGGGTAATTAGGGAAGTGGAGACACCTGGGAACACAGCAGCAAGAAAAACTGAACACAATGCACATGAGATGAGGTACAGTCAAAATGAAACAGGAAGTAGCACAAACACAACAAACACTGAAACACGTGACAGACTGGGGAGACAAAACACAAAACACAAAGAGAAGAACATAGGAACAGATCAGGAAGACAGAACACAGAGACATGACTGAGACTGGGGAGAGAGAGACACAGAGTTTTGGGCGATGGTGGCTCAAGAGTTGGGCGTTCGCCTTGTAATCGGAAGGTTGCCGGTTCAAGCCCCGGCTCGGACAGTCTCGGTCGTTGTGTCCTTGGGCAAGACACTTCACCCGTTGCCTACTGGTGGTGGTCAGAGGGCCTGGTGGCGCCAGTGTCCGGCAGCCTCGCCTCTGTCAGTGCGCCCCAGGGTGGCTGTGGCTACAATGTAGCTGCCATCACCAGTGTGTGAATGACTGGATATGTAAAGCGCTTTGGGGTCCTTAGGGACTAGTAAAGCGCTATATAAATACAGGCCATTTACCATTTAAATAAACAACAAAAGACAGAACGAGAAGCTTCTGGATTTATACAGTACAGGCCAACAACTAGACTTACTTAAACAAGGGCTTGGATTATAGAGATGTTTAAATATTGTCTGTGGATGACTCTGTAGCATGTTGTTTAAGTGGACTTTAATATAGACCTGTGCGTAGTTAAAATCTGTAAAAATAAATAAATAAATAAAATAATAAATAATAATAACACTAAGAGTATTAAAAAGCGAATAAAACTGAACATTTTTTACATTAATAAATAAATAGAAACCGACAAGCTAAATTAAGTCATTGCATTTGATAACGTGAATAAATAAAACTAAACAAATACGGAACATTTTCAAATAGGAACTAAACTGAAAAGCAAAGTCTCTCTGCAAATGAACTGAACTGGAAAAAAAAGCTTAAAACTAAATTATAATTATGATAATAACCAAGAAAACTGTAATTATTTTGATATGGAAAGCACTTTGTGTGTAGTTATGCAGTAACAGCCGCCAGGGGGACCACTCTGTCCGCGCTCAGCTGTTGGTCCAGCTGCATACTACATCTCCCAGAGTCCTTCGCGGGAGTTTATTTTAATGCAGCTACTCCATCCTGTCCGACCAGACAAGGAGGAAACAGATGAGCTGTCCGCTCTACTGGGGTTGATCTCTCCCCGCTGAAGTCATCTGGATGACAGCATATTAAAAAAAAACAACACCCGAAACAGCGAGTTTTAGAGGTAAGTTGTAGGAGGTCGAATTTAAAAACCGGGTTTTAGTAAACGAATTTAAGCTAACAAAATGGCTAGCTAGCTTTCAAAGGAACCGCTCGGGTTTGCTATGGCTTCGTGCAGATGTACCGTGAGTGTTTGTTTCGTTTTATTTCACCTCGTTCATTTTGTTATTTTTCTGGTTTAATGGCATATATTTGTGCTAAATACCCCGGCGCCGTGTTGCTGCGGGTTTTGTTGGTCTCATTTCCTCCTCTTTAGGCAGGTGTTTGCGGTGCGCTTTCGGTCTCTGATCGGGAATTTTAAGTTGCCAAACAGGCGCAGGTGACTCCCTGTGACGGTCAAAGTAGCAGCAGAATCTGGACTCGTGGTTCCTCATTTTAGACCCACTACTAAAATAAAATCAGGCCTTGAGAGCAAGACATGAGTTTAGATCATTGGTGTGAAACTCATTTTGGTTCATAGACACCAATCTGACCTTAAGTGGAACAGACCCATAAAACTAATGCGTAATAAATCTGTTAATAAATAAATCGAAATTCTCCCATCATCATTCTTTGGTAGGAAGTCATAAATAGGAGTTAAATTCAGACTCGCACAGGCTCACCTCTGCACGACTGGCTTCTCCTGTAACCCTGCATGTTTCTAAGGTTTGTTTTCTTTCTTTTTTTGTTGTTGTTCTTGTGCTTTTTGTCCTCGGGTGAGGTTTGAAGTGTCTGTGTGGTGCAGCTGGTCTGGTCTGTCCAGGCTGCACCACACAGACACTTCCAATCACCACACATCAAAGTACAAAGAGTATGACGTCATCACATTCTGTGTTAGGAAGTCACATTTAGGAGTTAAATTCATTGTTCATCATACTCAAGATATCTTTCTGTTATCTTGATTAACTTATCCCAACATTGTCAATCAGGCTAAGTGATCACATGACGCTAGTTATCAACTCTATAAGGTAAACCAGGGTTTCCCATTTTAGCTACTAGCCTGTTTACATGAAAGGGGTGGCGTTGGGGGCATCTGACCAATCACATAGAGAGCAGCAGAACAGCTGACTTTAGATAAAGAAAGATAAAACTATAAACATGAAAAGGTTAAACACTTGTATTAATAAAGTTCAAATAGGAACTAAAAGTTCTTTTGCTGAGCTCTGTTGATGTTTACCAGTCTGGGAGAAAATACAAGCATAAATACAAAAATGGCCGTGGATATACTGGGAAAAGCATGTCGAATGATGAGCAGTGATACAGGAGACCAAGAGGAATTGCTCAGATAAGATTAAATGCTTTCATGGACGAGGACATGCTAGGGACAAGCGTTGCAGACAAAAGAAAAACGAGATTAATGTTTATAGAGGAATTCAAAATGTTGTGAAATTGTTCTGCAGACAAATGGGAAAAGTCAAAGAATGAAGTTGAATTTAAGAATCTAAACTGATTAGACTACTGATGCTCATCAATGGAAAGATCCTCCCACTATCCATGGCACAGCAGTCCAAAGGGATCTTTCAGGTACTTGTTGTAAAGCAGTTTTCCAGAGAACTGATTGGTAGCTAAGTGGTGATTTCATACTTGTTGATCCGTAATCTCAAACACAACCTGCTCTGAAGCAGGTTTGCTCTACAGTTTAAGTCACTATGGTGATATACTCCAGTAAGAAGTGAGCTACCTTCATAGTACCTCTGTACTCATACCTGTGTGTTTCTTTGGCATTACAAGTGGACAAGTCCCTGTGACACCCCCCCCCCCCCCCCCCCAAATCAAAACACTGGGTACTTTAGTTTAGCTAACCTGCTCCAGAGATGATTGGGATGATGCTGATGGTGATTTGATAATCTGAGAACACAAACCGGTCAAAAGTTCATCAAGGAACCACAGTAGTATAATATCTTTCAACAGGCTGCAAGGAAGCGTATTTTTTATCTGAGGAAATATGAGGATGATCTAATCAACGATGTGTCTCTCTGTTGAGTGTAAACATGAAACATATGTGCACTGCTAAGTCTAGAGTGCTTGTAGATATGTTTTAAAATGCAACTGCAGTGCATTTTAAAACCTTAAGGAAGCTGTTATTGATATGGTGTAGATTAGCCAACAGATTTCTTTTCTTTTTTTACCTGATGGACACAATGCAGTGTAGTAGCCCTGCCCCTCGCTATGGTTTGTTCTTCATCATTCACTCACTGTGCGTCGATATGCTGGATGTCTCCACAAACAGTTCTCTGCATGCAGATGCAGTTTTTCTTCATTTGGAGCTTTGTGGGAGCTGAGTTCTGTTTACAGAGATGTTAATGGTCCTGTATGTGACCTGTCACATTTTATTTATTAAACAGACCACCTTGCAGTGTAGCTTCCACGTTAGCTGAGGTTTGTTTTATTATTTGTTTTTGCTTGTTTTTTATTATTCTTGCTGATGATTTATATTATCTAAATGTAAGGTTCATTCATATCAGTTTGCTTATTTAATTTAATACATTTTTTTTTTGTCTTTATCTTTGTCTCCATAACTGATAGTCTCTTATATCAGTTTCTGCTCATAAGGTTACTTTAACATTTGAGGCCACGTTATGATTGGTTTAGGTGGCAGCACAAGCAGCTTTACTTCCATAAAATATATATTTTTTTTAAATAACATCTGAAGTAATTTAATGAGGAATGAGTCATCCAGTTCAGCTCTGGTATTATGATGATATAATATGTGCTTCAGTCTTAAACAAGCACAGAATTTAATGAGCTGCTTCTTCCCGACTCCCTGATTTCTGCACAGCTGGATTATTGTACCAAAGAAACTGTTTCTGTAATATTTCTGTGAAATAAAGTAATCCACTAAAACCCAGTGAGTGTTGGTTAGCTAAGATTTGTTTTTGTTCTTGATGGAATCGAAACACTCAGAAACGTCATTAATATTCGCTTGTCCTGCTGCAGACTTTTCTATCCAATCTAACAGTGAGAGCGAGCATGTGGTGCCCCACCCACTGGCTACAGGCCACATATTTCTGCAGATAAAGGCACCACCGTATTTGCCTTTATTCCGATGAAATGTCCTCTAAAGGACGCCCACACAATTGATGAGAAGTCAGAGACCAGATGCCGATATTGTAATTCCATTAGAAAAAAGGCTGCACTTAAGTAGGGAAGATATGTGTAGGGCTTTTAAGGCCATTGCAGTCCCAAATGGAGGCAGATGGGGTATGTGAAGTTCAATATCTGTGGGCTGAGCACCCTGATACCACAACTCAAGAGTTCTGTTTCTGCGTTATCAAAGGTAGCCGGTCAGAATATTCTGGATAATCCTTCATAATTGATCAGAATTTGCCAAATAGACTTAACATGGTGTTAAGTCTGTCACATCATTTATGAAAGTCAAAGGTTAAAGTGTGATTTTCATCAAGAAGAACTTGAAAAGAGAAACTACATGACTATGACTTGACATTAGGCACAGACAGGAATGCTCAAGCGGTATTAGCTGTTTGAAGGTACATTAGGAAAATGTTGAACGTAATGCACAACAAGCACCTTATTTCCTCCACAGAAGGTTGATAATTAACCTTTAACCTCCGTCACTGTGATGTGTGAATACTTCTGCTACTTTACGAACTATTGTAATCATAAAACGCTTTTAAAATCTGTATACTCCAATGATTTAAAAACAATAATACAGCAAACATTTAAAACCAATCTCATGACCAAGGGCGCTGCTGGCTTCAGGACCATGCAATAATCCATGTGTGGTTTGCATTTGTATTATAATACAGTCTGTAAGAAAGCCTTTTGTTATATTATTGAGAATATTGATCAACTAATTGTGATGGTGATGGTGCTCATCCGTCTTTTATCAGTCACTGCATTTTAACACAGTTTGCTCACCGTACATTCCAGTTTCTGGTCACTGAAACCAGTCAGACCTGAGCTCCTGGGGGCCTCCCTCAGGTGAATGTTGTTTTTTTAAACTTCGTACCGCTTACAAAACTTCCCCAGCAGAACAATTGGTTTCAGGTTTATTCCTGTAAAGAGTTTGTATATGATAGATAGTTGTTTTTTTAAATATCGGACACATAATCGGGAAAACACAAAAGGGAAACATTTGTCTTCTTTCTTTTTCATTTTCCCAGCACTGGTTTATTACATCACAGCTTAAAACACTGATTCCAGTCAGAGGCGGAGCCAGATATTTGAAACACCCGGGGCTTAGCCCTAAAGGGTAGTATGCATGTGGGATTATTATTTTAGAAATGACTGAAAGATTAATTGGCTCTGTTTTGAGTTTTGTTAAAAAAAGAATGACTTCATATAGGAAAAAAATATATCACATATACAGGACACCTTAAACTAGTTTTTTTAAAATTAAGCAGCAAGGCAGAACAAAGTCGGGGCTGTATCAAGACACAGGGACTAAACCCCAATTCAACCAGACCCAGAACTGATCCAGAATTAAAACAGGACTACAACAGTTCAAAATCAGGACTACTGAGGACTTAACCAAGACAGAACCAGAATCAGAACTAGATGATAGTAGCACTAAAAATCATCATAGACCTGCACTACACTTATTTTTTAATTCTACCAAAGTACAATATTTAGCCTTGTTGTGCAAACAAGCCTGCATAACTTAATATAGAATTTGAAAAATAACAAACCTAAAAAGAAACACTAGGTACAAGATACATGAGGACCTATGATACGGTGATACTTTTGGTAAATAACCATTTGACTAACATGTGTGTCTCACCTGCTCTTGTTCCACCTCTGTTCTGTCCTCATTCACCTCTCTCTCCCTCTCTGTGCTGACAATCATCAAATATACAGTTGAAACCAGATATTTATGTACTCTTCAGATAAAAACACTTTTTTAAATTGTAACATCAAATCAGACTAAATGTTTATTTTTTTAGATTGATAAATATAAAAACATATTTGTTAACTTTAAGAGTAAAGTGAGAAACTATCTGTATTTCTTAATTTTAAATGGCACCAAATTGTATTCAAACTTGAGCCACACTTATGGAGCTCCAC